CCCGCCGCGGGCGCCCCGCGTGCCGCCGCGGCCGCCGCCGCCCCTGCGCCCGCCGCGCCGCCGCCGTTGCCGCCGATCGTCGGCAGGCCTCTGCTGGACGCGTCCGAGGGGGAGGGCGCGAGCTTGTCGCAGTCGGCTTCGGAGAATCCGATGCGGCGCTGCTCCAGATCGTACACCACGAGGACGTCGCGCACCGCGACGCCGCCGACCAAGGTGCCCTCCTCCCCTGCATTGGCGGGCCGGGGCGGTTGCAAGCGCGTCAGCAGGCTCAGAAGGGAGTCAGGAGGGCGCCCGCGCTTGAGGGCAGCGGCGGCACGGGGCGCAGGCGCGGCCGCGGCCAGTTGCGGCTGGGGGCGGCTGGCGCGGGTCCGGGGTGCCGCGTGCCGCTCGTGGCGGCAGACAGGGTTAGGGCCGCAGGCTTTCATATCAAGCAGGCAGTGGTCGAGGGCGAAATGGTGCGCCCGTCGTGTTTGCAACACCAGGACAGCGGGCAGCGGCGCAAAGCGGCCGCGAGCAGCCGGGCGCAGCGGCCGCACCGTTGTCGAAGAACCCGAGGCAGAATCGCCTGCGGCCGCCGCCGCGGTCGCCGCCGTCCGCAAAAAGGTACCGCTGCGCGGGCAGCAGCAGCGCCGCGCCGTCAAATCGCAGGCGCAGGGTGGGGAACGCCTCGGCCGCGGCGGCCCAGGCGTCGGCCGGGGTGGATCCCAGCGTGGGGAGGTCCCAGCAGATGTCTGGGCTCTCCGAATCGGGGTTCTGCGTGGGCGTGGGAGGGGTGCCGGCGCGGCGTGGCCGGGGATGGGAGATGCTGTCAGATGTTGTCACATGCAAGGGCCGTGAAACAGGAGGGGTGGGTTTGTCGGGCGCGGAGGGGGCACTGGAGGGCGGAGTGTTGCAGGGTATGGGCCGCCTGCCATCGGCACGCCCCAGCTTGCGGGCATGACCCGCGGTCAAGCCCACCGGCAGCCTAAAGGCGAGGGTTTGTCAGCCCCGTTGAGGAGGGCAGCAGGTATGGCTGGCAGCGGGCCGCGCCTGTGCAGCCTGCCGGGGCCACGCGCGGCGCGCACCAGTGTCTTGTAGTTGAGCCCTTTCTCCATGAGCAGGCCCTCCAGCATCACCACCAGCGCCTCAAACGCCAGGGTGGGCAGGTAGTTGAACTGGGGGGGGGGGGGACACGAGGGTTGGGGTTGGAGGGATGGGCAGAGGTGATGGTTTCAAAGCAGGCGCGAGCAGGCACAAGCGGGCGCGGCGGTATGTGGACGGGGCGTGGGGTTGGACACCAAGAGCAGCAGGCTGGGCGTTGCGCCGCGGCGGGGGCGGCGGTCGAGGGCGGCGGGGGCGTCCCCGCGCCCCACGGGCAAGATGCGTGGAGCCATGGATGTGGTCGCGCGCAGAGCCCGAGCGGAGGCGGAGCCTGCAGCCGCGGCGCGCCCACCGTGGTGCCGCTGTCCATCACTGTGCCGTAGCCCTTTGCGTACTCAGCCTCACTCACAGGCAGCGCCCTGTAGTGGGTGGTGCCGCCCTGCGCGTCGTCGCGTGCGAGGGACGCGTGAGTGCGAGGGGCGGCGGCGAGGGGTCGGGTGGAGGGCCGAGGATGGGTGAGCCTGGGGGCCATGCCACATGCAGGCCAGCCCTAGGGCTGGTGCCCAGGGGCCTTGCATCGCATGCAACGCCGCACAACTATTTGTCCCTCACAGAGTATTGCTGCACGTGCGCGCACAATTACACACACACACACACACACACACACACACACACACACACGTACGCCCACGCGTGTGCACGCCCTCCCCCCACACGCAAAACACAGTTCACCAACGGCGCGATGCTCACCACGCCGCTGGCCGCGGCCCCGCCGCCCCCGCCGCCGCCCGACCCCGCGCCCGCCCCTATGGGCAGCTGCACCTCCACCTCCACCGCGAGAAGCTTCACTCCGTAGTACTGGCTCGAGGCGGGCAGCAGCGGCGTCCAGACGGGCTGCGCCACGCCTGGGGGCAGGGGCGCATCGCCCAGCAGCAGGGCGCCGCCCGAGGGGAACCCGAAGCAGAGGCCGAAAATCTTTGGCACCTGGCCGGTGGCCGCGATCTGGAGTTGCGACGGTGCGGGTGGGAGGGGTGTCAGGGGGTAGGGGGT